TCCTCTGTTCTCCGGATCCTGAACTCTGCAGAGCTTTGTAGTCCAACACTTCAGGGGCCTGATGAATTAACAAGGCTACAGTGAGCTAGCCTGGAAACATCATCAACACTTAACAACACTTTGACCATGAAGAAGTAACTTAAAATCCCAAACAATATCCTAACAAATGATCTTCTGAAAGTGGTTAAAAATTAAAACAGTGCCACTTTAGCCTTTAGTCTTGACCATTGCCCCACATTGATTATCGGGGCCTCCTTCCTGAGCCCCAGAGCTTAACAATTAACCCAGTGGTTTAACCCAAATGCAGTAACCAAGATTTGGATTTGCGCTTTTTCTTTTCTTTAATAATCCCAAGAAGATAGTTAGGGGGAAAGGGAGAGTTGGTAAAAAGAGGCAAGAGTTCAAGAGGGTGGAAGAGCAGGAGCAGATGCTTTTCAACACAGCCCGGGCAAAGCAGCAGAGGCAAAACTGGGACCAGGAAGAAGGCTCATCTCTATCTGCTGCTGGGAAGAAGGTGGCATATGGGTTATTATAAGCAAAGCAAAAGCTAGACAGAGATCACAGACTTGGAAAGATAGGGCATAGGGCATTGGGTTGACAGATAGCTAAGTACGGAAAGATCTATTAGTCATGCAGGTTAAATGGGGAGAAAAGGGATACCCCAGGGTACTCTTATTTCAAGCATTCTGAATCCCTGGACACAAACAAGAGCCAGAGCTTAGAGCTTAGATTCTACTAGCATGAATATTCAACACAGCCTTCTGATCCTGTGCTGTCCAAAGCAGAACTTCAGGAGGCTGAAGCCCAGATTTAAGTATAAATTGGGCTACATATATCATGAAGTTCATGCATTTTATAACAATCAAGACAAGAGTTACCTGATTAATTATTGGATAATTAGAAGTCTAATTAAGCAACTAACTGTTTTTCCATGTATTCCCTCCATCGAGAGTTTAGAGCATCTTATTTCTGTGGAATTGCATATATACTAGCCTCTGCACCTGATAAATAATTACCTCCCTAGCTGTTCTGAAATCATTGTTTGAACTCTGACCTTCCGGCCACTTTCCCACCCCTAGTTATGCGAGAGAAGTTACCAATCCTCTTGCTAATCAGTTGCTGTGTTTCAGGCATTTCAGTGGTTTTGTTACATGAAATTATTAAACTCCTACGAATACAGGCTATTTTATTCCACAACATTTCCTTGAATACAACCCCACTCGTGTTTTTACCAAAAAAAAGAAAAAGAAAAGGACTTTATCATTACAAATATGATCTGCAGCCCTCTGCCAACAATACACTCTGGGAAGAACTGATAAAATCTAATCCTTCCATATAAGAACACTCTCCCAAAAGATTTAATGATGGAAGCCCACTTTCACAAAGTACTGGCCTCAGTGAGCACACACTCTTTAAATCCAAAGATCTTCATAAGCATTAGTGATATAAGTTAATGACGATGATAATGGTAACTGTTGTGATCCATTAGATGTTTAGTGAATACCAGACAACTTGCTAAATTTCTGACATGCATTGTTTCATTATCGTAATTGGGAAATCCAATTTCCCATATTGGAACTGGCCATAACGAAGCACTAATTTACAACTTGCGGTCTGCAAAAGGTCTATTGTGTGGCAGCAGGACCAGAGCAGACTATTAATGAGCCACTCAATTGGCACTTTTTCCAGTAATCTTCAATGCGTGTTGCATTAAAATAAAAAAAATTGCTTTCAGTCTTGGGCAAGGAGTTAAAGGTATCTTTCTAAACCCACAAAACCTTTATCAAATAATTCAGGCAGGGTAAATAGGCTTTGGCTAAGTTATGCAAAAGTAATTGCACCCTCAGATAATTACACCTTCCAACCTTTCAGTGATTTACACAATTATTTCTCATTCATGCTGCATGTCCATCACCTGTCAGTTAGCGCCCTGCTCCATGTTCTCTTCATTCTGAAACTCCAGCTCAAAGAGAAGCCCTGCTCTGGCACACTGCCAGCTTTGTATTAACAGAGGAGAGAGAATGGGGTGCAACCCTGTACTAGCTCTTAGAGCTTCTACCCTGAAATACAAGTCATGTCCACATTTCATTGGATCAAGGAGGCAGCTAGTATTTTAAACAAAAATACACCATTGGAATGGGATGGGGGAAGGGAAGGTAGAGAGTGGAAAGGAGTTGAGTGCTATCTGCACTTCATTTCTCTGAGTATTAGTGTCTGGAGTTTGTACGATGAAGTTCAGTATGGTCAGTGCTGCCGCTTTCCTCACAGATTTAAGTCTCAAAGAGTACAGCATACATAAAAGAAGTCTGAAACATTCAGAGTAGCCTATAAGTAGAAGTTACTATGACTTAATGCTAATTATAGTATTTCCCAGGCCTGGAAGATTGCAGGAAGTATATGACATCACACTGTTCTTCTCTACTTCTAAATAACTTTTACTCCAGCATGAAAACGTTAATGAGACGATTTATACAGGCTTCAAATTCAAGAGGATCATGAGTAGCCCCCAATTGCTACACTTTCCTCAGACGCTGCCTCTAATTTAAGCCAATGTATCAGAAACTACTTAAGAACAACTCACTGAAAATGGCATCGCTGAGATAAAATGCCTCAGCAGACAAGATACATAAAACGCGAAAATCCAACTAAAACTATTTTCAAAGTGGGGAATGTTGGGGCTGAGTTGGACGAGGCAAAATGAAATGATCTCCTGTGAATTGTATCAGAGCTGACAAAAGGTCTTATTACTCTCTATCGACTGGCTAAGAGTTCCGATATCTTCTCTATGGCGGTTTCTCCTGCAATCTCTGTAGAGCAGGAGTCTTTAATACTCTATCTCTGCTACTGCCCAAGGAAGTTAAGAAAATTCAAAGCCTTTTGTGCCTCTTTTTCTACTGAGAGCCTGAATAGGCTTTTCCAGATAGCCTGGACAATGTGTGTAATATTTTGTTTTAATTTGCAAGGCAGTCTTGTTCACTGTGGTTTGTACAATATGGGTCATTTTCACTCCATTTACTCAGAGTAAAAAAATAACTTGCCTGAAGCAGTTCATAAGTATCTACCTCTCTCTAGACTATGGTTAAGACAATGAACTCAGCCTGAGAGTCCCTTGTACCCAGGCGGGCACTTGGTGACCTCTAATCTTGTCTATCAGACCATCACAGACTGTCTGTGGACAGAGGTGGGGAAATGACCATAAACTGCGTTTAACCATAAAAGAATGGGGTAGACCTTGCTTTTTGCCCACCGAAAACCACTCTCCTCCCCTCACTGCCACAGTCCTAAGTGGTTGAGGTAAAGGGCAAAGATCATTTGGTTTCAGGGAAGGCAAATCCCTACCCCAGCTCCCAAGAACTGAACACAACCCAAACCAATAACAGCCTTCTCATTCTCCTTGCCCAAAAGTTGGTCTAGGGGAGAAGAAGCTGCAACTCAGGTCTGAGAAATAGGAGAATGGAAATCTTCTGCATGGTGGCAGGGACAGGGGGTTACATGGAACCTTCCAGGAAAGACTTTCTTTAAATACAAAAGACAGAACCTCACACAGAGAGAGTTTTTAACCCATTCCCCTTCCTTCTTTGCTTGCTTGCTTGTGACACTGGTGTTAGGACACTATGCCCAGGACCAGGGCAGTCATCAGCCACCATAAGAAAATAAGCTCCAGGTCCAATGTGCTGAAGATGGCAGAATGGGATGAGGAATGGACATCTGCTCTAAATGTTGACACTCACTCTACTTTGTTCTCCGTGCCTCCCATCCAGATGCCCAGTACTTGACCCCTGCTTTACTCCCTGAGTTCTATTCTTATACCATACATGGACTCTAACATTTGGTCATTGCTTCATGGGGCTCATCTCCTCCCCATGCACAAGCCCACTGGGACTTGTGGAAAATCTCCATGATAAGAGAGAAATGACTGAAGCTTGAGCACATCACCATTACCAAAGGTAGCACCACAGTGCACAGTGGCGCAAAGCCAAGCACATACACTAGGCTAAAATGAAGCGTGTCCAAGAAAACAGTGTTGTGACCTAAAATCACTCAATATCATTGACAAATAAGGCCTCTCACACAAAGCGCAGATTTACTATTATGAATGGCTACTAATGGAATTGATTCTACACAACTTTAAATGGCATTGATGAAGAATGAATCCGAGTCCCAAAGAGCTTTCACAGCAGTAATTTGCTCCCATATTCGGCAAGTTCTCAATAGCTAAGTGGAGCCAGGAGTGGTGGGTGTACTGGTTCTGCCAGTGGGAGGATCAGGAGTCAAATTATTGTGAGGTTCCTCTGTCATTATTATAATTGTTCACAGTCAATGGCCACAAATAGCAGAAGATGAGAGTAAAATTTTTAGACTATTACTGCTTGTAGGATTTTTCCATGGTTAACGAGAAGGATAATGTTTAATATTTAAAGTTCTGAAATTAATTTTCTGAACAAAAAATAAAAAGCAGCCTAAGATTAAAAAAATAAATATTAATAGGAAGTACTGACATTAGTAGTCCTCTTCTTCAAAACTGACAAATGAGTACCAGGATATTGAAGCATAGATGAAAAAGGGTGCATAAGCAAAGGGGCAACTATATCCTCCCCAATGGCGTGTTTATCTAATCCAGTTCAAATCTATAAAAGTAGGTAGAAGTGGAAAAAAGTTATAAAGGAGAAAGGGAAAACATCTGTTAGTTACACTATACTGTGAATGAGAACCAAAGCGGTAATGAACAGTCTTTTAGAAGAAATCAAAACCAGAGGCCACCCACCAGGTACTGAGCACCAGGAGAGTATCAAACACATTGTCTTAACTCAAGGGGGCTTTAATCAAAGCCAAAAAAATTAAGTGGGGATCAATGATACAAAACAGGATGGGAAAAAAAATTTACCATTTTCATGATGAATCGTCTTTACTTTGTGAATATCTGAGCCACTGGAGAGCCAAACCAATTAGAAGAGCACAATCAAGGATTTACAGCATTCATTTCGTTCAAGACCGCTACCTTACCAACTGAGTACAAGGTTCAATACATTGTTAGTGACTATGACAGGAACGATTGGGTCCAACCAGGACACAGAAACCGCTTCACCATCACTTTGCCCATTAGGACTTCTCAAACTGATGACAGCGAGCCAGTGAGCACCTGAGAAATGGGGGGGCTTGGATACTAGGGGATTACACCAGAGCGGGAGTATGCATTGCTCAAGGTGGAACACTAAGCCTGGAATGACGTGTTCACATAGAGAGAGGACTTGTTCTGCTCTCTAGAGTGGAAATGGAGATCACTGATGCTTGAAGCCACGAACCCCCGTAATGGCATCCGTCCAAGTGCCAACGTTATGAGTCCATCTGTCACTGTGACTTCTAGTAGAGTTTATGAATTAGCAACCCATGAATCAGTCATTTAGAAACCCAACTGAAAAAAAATTCTGACCTTGGCAGGTGAAGAAAAAACCAGTCAGGTATGAGCTCGTGTCGGAGCAACATTCAAAGAGAGGACCCACCCTCTTTTGGTTGAACCTTTGGTTGAACTTGGAAATACTAATTCACTCAAATAAGACAACAGAACGTTATGTGTTTATGGTTTTGTCAGTGGTTGTTACATACAGAGAAAGCAGAACATAGGATCTAATATGGCCCTGCCGCTTTTGTTGCTTTGCTGTGTTTGAGAACTACCTTCAAAGGTCTGGCTTTCACATGCTACTGAGAAGCCTGGATAAACCAGGAGAACAGAGCACCCAAGTAAGTCGACAGAATTTCTGGTGAGCCAAGTGAGACCTTTCAATTTCAGCCATGTCTACCAGGAGTACATTTCTCACAAATGACATTATTTAACAGCGTACTTACCTTCGCAGTAGGCAGAGTCTCCCTGGACAGAAATGTAGCCATTCTTGCACTCACAGGTAGCTTTTGTATTCCAGTTTTTACACTCTGAGTTTTCACCACATTTAGGTCCTTCTGCACAAAAGTTATGACCTAAAAGAAACAAATAAAATTTTACATCGGAACAAATGACTTGCAAATAATAAACCATGAATTATCTTTAATATATTGGCACCACGTGTGAAAACATACACTGGCAATATGAAGAGTCACCTAGGAAGAGGGTGGAGAGTAGGAATGGGAAAGTGGACTATCACATGCTTGAGAGGTTTTTCCTTAATGCTTTTCAAAGTAAGTTTCTGCCTAAAAGCTTTTATCCATACTGACCCTGAATCCCCTTCCCACCACTTTCTTACATAACCAGTCTCTTTATAGTCGCCATATTGCAAAGCTTAGGATTCATAGGAAATATATAAAATGTGACTATTAATGTATAACAAATACAACCAGATGATCATTATTCTTGATTATACCTCCACGAGTCCCCTCCCAGCCATCAAAGAGGATGATCCTGAATTTCAGATTACTCCCTTGCATGTTTTTATTGTTTACCATACATATGTACTTAGTTCTAAATAGATCATTCAATCTATGCCCACTTTGAACTCCACATGAAAGAAAATTATATTTTACATAGTCTCTATGTATTTTTTTTCTATTCATCCCTGATATTGCCTATAGCTACAGTTTACTCATCAGTGCTGTATAATATTCGGTAGCATCAATATTCCACCATCTATCCAATACTACAGGTGAGCATTGAGGTTATTTGCAGGTTTTGAATTACAAACAATGCGGCAAGAAACATCCTGGAGCATGCTTCCTGGTGCATTCTTTTTAAACCATGGGTTCAATATTTACTTTCCCAACACTCCTTCTTGAATCTCAGACACTCCTTCAAGGATAATTGTTTTTCTCCCTAAAATACCCTTTACAAATTCCTTTAGTGAAGATATTTTCAAAGCGACAGTACTCAATCTTAAATTTGTTTAAATGTTCTCTTTGTATTCTTTACTTTTACTGTAGGGTAAGTTCATTTTTGTTTCTTCTTCCTAGGATTCCTTGGGATTTTCAGAATCTAAAGGTCAAATCTTTCATCAATTTGGAACATTATCAGGGAGTGACTTTTCAGACATGCTCTTCACCATTTTTTCTTTTCAGAACTCCAATTAGATTAATGTTATTCCTTCTCAAGCTCTTCTCCAAGTTACTTAGCCTTCCTTTCCTATTTCCACTCCCTTTTCTTTCGGTGCCAAATTCTGTGTAACTTCCAGATGTATCTTTCTTCTCTTTTGGTCTAGGTCATAGTCCGTTTCACTCATCAATATCATTTTTATTTCATTTACAGATTTTCTAGAATTCTTATTTTTTCTCCTTGGTCAAATCTCATAGTCCCTTTTTTATCTTTCAATTTTTTAAATTTTTTTTTAGAAAAAAAATTTTTTAAATGTTTATTTTGGAGAGACAGAGTGCAAGTGGGGGAGGAGCAGAGAGGGAGACAGAATCTGAAGCAGGTTCCAGGCTCTGAGCTGTAAGCACAGAGCCTGGTGCAGGGTTTGAACTCACAGACCATGAGATCATGATCTGAACCAAAGTCAGATGCTTAAATGACTAAACCACCCAGGCACCTCTTAATTTCCTTTTTTTAAAAAGGCCTAGGAGGCATGTTTGTCGTACATCACTAATTCCAGGATCTTCAATCTTTGTACATGTGATTTTGTGGCTTGTGGTTTTGCTAAGTATCGTGCATGACTTAATGTTCTTGTGTTTTCAGTGATTCCTTAGTTTGTGAGCTCATATTTTTCTTTATAATTTAATCTGTGAGAATTGAGATTTGGGTTTTAAAATAGCATTTCTTCAGAGAAGATTTGTGTTTGGTTCTGTCAGGAGCCCAAGGGAACTATCAACCCAAGGTCACTTTATATTTTGCTTTGTGGCATGGGGATTGAGCCACACAAGGAGACTAAATTCAGGCCCTAAACTTTCAGGAATGCAATCTTTTCTCCTCCACACCCCTTTATGTAGAGTCAAGACTTACAGATGAGTCTTCTTTTGCAAAGGAGGGTTCTCCTCGTCACCCAATGAGGATTCTCTCCTCAAGGTTCTTGATTTATGCATCTCACACCAGCCCCAGGCTTGGTCTCCCATCTCCTTGTCTATTAGGAGGCAGTTTCCAACACCAGGGATTAGACATTGTCCTCAGGGCAAATCCCAACTCCAGTGTGCTTGCTTATCTCAATGGAATCACTTTTTTCAGTATTTCTGGGCTCTAACTTTTCCCCTTATTGCCAACTCCACCAAATTTTGGGAAATTTATGCTGCAGCATGTTTAGGTGAACTAGGAGGAACACGTTACTCCTGCCACAAAAGTTCATATACAATAAGGTTATGAATGTGCTTTATCAACTTGAAGTCAGTACATTTTTGTGGACGATATTGCTAGGTCACATATTGTGGTCTCATAGACAGGAATGGTTCCTGGAGGCAGGAGATTTAATTTCTAATTCAGGTTCTGCAGCCACAAACACAGGCAGGGACAACATCAGTGATTTTGAGACTATTTCTTAGCGTCTGGGGCACAAATGAGTCGTCAGGTAAGGCTCATGTCCCCCACCCAGGTTTCAAACAGAATAGCTCTGCTTTTATATTTTCACATATTGATCCTGTGAACAATAGCTTCTGGCTTTAAACAAGATAAAAATCATTGTATTATGTAATCTCCGAGTTTACATCCTTTCGGTGATGGCATTCTGTACCTTTTTTTCCTTTGAAATCGCATTTTAAAGCAAAAGAGATTAACTATTATTAAATAAGATGATTCACATACCTACCAAATGCTGGGCATTATACTTCCTAATATATGTGGAATGAGTTAAACTGGCTACTCCATATAGCACATTTAGAACAATCCTTAGTACATACTAAGAGGTCAACAAATGTTAGCCACAAAGCTGAGGATTATAAGGTTGACAGCAATGACTACAGTTCAAAGCAACTTAGTAACACTGCTCCCCCCTTCATTTCTAGATAAGGAAGGAGAAGCTTAAACTCACTGACATCTAGATGGAGATGCCAGGGTTCTAAATTAGGTCTGGTGAACTCCAAGGCCCATGTACTTTTTACCATATAGCCTATATCCTCACAGATAACAAAACTTCGGGATAAAAAGTGTAAGATGTAGCTGTTCTTTAGGACACCAGAGAGTGAATCCATAGACTTAGGTGAGCACAGTATCATATTCAGCCTCACTACTTAAAACCTGTTAACGGCCCCAATCAAAATCAGAGCAAACACTTAACTTGCTGGAAACGTGTAACCTCTGTCAGTCAAAAACACGGCTACCAGGGCTTCTAAAGTCTTACAATAACCATTACAAATAAAAAGCCTGGAGATTTTGCTACCAAAGGGACCATTCTTAGACATCTTAGCTCCTACTGCCAGAGAAAGGGGCTGGACTTTCCTCTCCATGTCAGATTTGATCGATAATTAAGTTGTCATGTTTTCTTTCACTGTGAAGTTCGACTCAAGGTCATATGTGCATCTATTATGACATGTATTCTTCATTTCTTTTCTCTTTCCTTCCAGGAGACTGCAACTGTCCTTTTCCTTCTTCATGCACTTGACAGGCAGGAAAGAAGCCACTCAAACACTGTTGATGTCCCAGTGCATCTCTATCAAGCATATGCCACGTCAATTCACAAAGCAGGGAGTTGGGTAAATTGTATTTTCAAGGACAGTGAAGGGCCTATGGGACAAATCAACCTTAATGTCAAATCTATTTTGGTTGGGACTGGCCATTGTGCCAAAAGCATGTGTTTAATTAATTAACCCAGGTCTTCTTTCAAGCAGTATTTATTCACTGTCTGCTTGCCTTTCAGCAGGAGTGAATAATCAATACTTATGGGGCATCTACTTCTGTGGACTGAAGCACCACGCAAGTTTCTAAGAGAAAAGTAAAGATGTTTGAGACATGGTCTCTGCCCACAAGGAAATTACAAACTAAAGCAAGACAAGCCAAATATAGGGGTGGTATAAATACAAGGCAATCTGTGTGTAGTGAGATGTGAAGAGTAAAAATAATCAGTGTTTCAGAGAAGGAGAAATCACTTCTAGATGATTCAAAACTTGACCTTGAGTTCATCATGGGTAAAAACATGAGAAGGTTTGGGTCCAAATCCTAGAAAAAGGAATGGGACTCCAACCTCATGAGGAAGAAGGATATAGTTGGAGAATGTCAAATAATCTGGCAGAGATGTAGTAATAATAATAATAATAATTGACACCAAATGGTAGGCACTCAGCTAAGTGTTTTTACAGGCATTATCCCATTTAATTCTATTAACAAGCTTACAAAACTGAAATTATTATTTGTACATTATAGATTTGCTGCTTGGAGTTTGGAGAAGTTAATCATGGAGGGTACACAGAGCCAAAGCCAGGTCTGAGGTCAAGGTTATCCATCACTATGTTATTTCATTGTCCTTGCAAAAGCAACAAATTCCTAAGCATTCTAACATCCAAAATATTAAGAAGATATCCTTTTTGCATGTGAAGATTCAAACGGACTACAATTTAGGTTACTTCTCATTCTCAATGTATCTATTTTCCATGAAGTAATTCCAAATATTTACTAATATTTATTTAATTTTGAGAAGCAGGGAGGGACACAGAGAGAGAGGGGGACAGAGGATCTTAAGCAGGCTCTGCACTGACAGCAGAGAGCCCAGTGCAGGGTTCAAATTCACAAACAATGAGATCATGACTTGATCTGAAGTCTAACCATCTGAACCACCCAGGTACCCCAATTCCAAATATTTTTTTTAGAATTTTTAAAAAATTTTTTCTAACATTCATTTATTAATAGTTTATTGTCAAGTTGGTTTCCATATAACACCCAGTGCTCATCCCCACAAGTGCCCACCTCCATGCCCATCACCCCCCTTCCCCTCTCCCCCACCTTATCAGCCCTCAGTTCTTGGCATTCAAGAGTCTCTCATGGTTTGCCTCCCTCCCTTTCCCCAACTACTTTTCCCCTTCTTCTCCCCCATGGTCCTCGGTTAGCTTCTTCCTAATCCACATATACGTGCAAACAT